GTCTATAAAGGTGCTTCAGTAGGTCTATGCATATTCTGAAATTACATGCCAAGCTTGAGTTTCTGCTTTTGAGTGTGTAATATGATCAGTTTCCTAATGGAAATCTGTAGTTTTTATTAGGCTCTCAAAAGGGACCAAGACCCAGAAAAGGTTAAGAACTCCTGTTTATCCACTAGGATGAAGGCTTTCTTAATCTACTACATTCCTTTGCTTCTTAGAGTGGTTATACGGAGTCCAGGTGAGCCAGTCTGCAGTGGTGCAGCCTTATGCTTATAAGCATCCACCCTCCCTGACCTGGAACAGTCACAGTACTGGCAGCCACCACTCCACTGTGGCAACATCTGGCCTGTAAGCAGGCTTTCTTTCACAGGGTCTTTCTCTTTTTCTCCCCCTTCTTCTTTCCTCCTCTCTCTCTCAAATTGGGTACCAATATTTTTAAAAATCAGACTTCACATAAAAATCCAGATTCCTGGCTTCTTTTCAAAAAACTCAGAAAGTCTGGCAACACAGGGCTCTCATTTTGCATGACAAGAATCATCTCAAGCTGAGTAACAACGCTGGCCCCTTCAGACAGGGTAAGTGGGGCTTCAGTTTGTCTCAGTCCTTACCCACGTGTTTTCCTCATTTCTGTTACTTGCCTGACCCCTGGAGATAACTGAATTTCCATGCTCTGTCCCATAAGGTGATGCCTTCAGTGTATGATGTTTCTAGATTAACTGGCCTTAACTGGTAAACTCACAGTCCTCTTGTCTGTCTCTCTCTCTTCTTAATCCTTACCTGAGGATATGCTTATTGATTTTAGGGAGACAGGAAAGGAGGAAGGCAGTGATTGAGGGGAGGGGGGAGAAGAGGAAGGAGAGAAGGAGGGAGAGGGAGGGGAAAGGGAGGGGGAGAGAGGGGGAGTGAGAGTAAGAGAGAGAAAGAAACATTGATGTTAGAGAGAAACATCAACAGGTTGCCTCCTGACTGGGGATGGAACCACAACCTTTCAGTGCACTGGACAATGCTCCAACCAACTGAGCCACCCAGCCTGGGCAGTTTTCCTGTCTCCTGATTTGCTGTCAGGTTGTTATTCACCATTGCTGAGAAAGTAATGGCCTAGTAAGTCTTCGACAATTTTTAAAATCATTGCTTCTATTCTGCTATAGACTCTGAGGCTAGATAACCCAGCTCAGTAGATTCTGCGTGAAAGGCTCTGGATGTACCTGAAGGCAGGGATTAAGTCTAAAAATTCTAGGTAGGCTTTACTGTCATCTTTTCCACAGAGACCTAGGGCAAAATGAATACAGTAAGTTTTTGTGGGTTTTTCTATGAATCAAATATTTCATACAAGGCCTTTAAAGACACTTACTTTAATTTTTTGTTGTTGTTATTTAGTTTTTGATTCTGAGAGACAGTATAATGTACCTTGGTTTTAAAATCTGAAGACAGGTTCTGAGTCCTAGCTCCACTATTTAGGAGCCAGGAGATCATGGAGAAATAACTCGTTCTTTCCAAGTCTCACACTGGCCTATGCAAGGAAGGGGTTACTACTGCCTACGTCACAGGGCTGTCATAAGCATTAAGAGGACACATGTTAGCTCTGGCACTTAGAGGTATTCAGTAATTGTGGTCCCGTCTTCCATATCGCGCTCCAGCTGGGTGACACTTCCCAACCCATAGAAGTGAGGAATCCTTCAAGTCGTTCTTGTGCCCATGCCATTGAATCAACTTGTTCTAATAGCTCACCGATGTGACTTTTAAAACACCCAGAGAGATATGCTTCTTGATCAACATAGCATCTGTAAAATTTCAGTGTCAAGAAATGGCATACAATCTTAGAAAGTATTGATATGAGAAATATGGCATGAATACACATATATGAACAAACCGTATTATTAACCTTTTCTGAAATGTTCATGAAATGATTGGCCTGTTAGCTCAACTAATAAAAAACAATTACCACAGTCTCCAATGACTTTGGCAATTCTGAGATATCTATCATCATAACCTTTTCTATGTTCTTTCAAAGAAATACCTAACTGACACATAGTTATCTGAAAAAAATCTAAGAAATAGTGGGGGGGGGGCTGGGATACAAACAATCCCCCAATAATTAATTCTGTGTAACTAAAGAACCTGGAATAAACTTGACCCGCTTAGAAATAGTTGTTTGAACTGGTCAAGTACTTACCTATGGGTTTTTCCAAAGGACTACTATCTCATGGTTCCTGTGCTGCTACCTGTTTGATTCTTTAGTCACTCAACCAACACTTAAGAAAGTCAATTAGTACAATCATTTTTATTGAGTTTATCAAAGTTAATACTGAGTTTAAGTTGAGAGTTTTTATACCTTAGCTTATAAAGTTCTCATTATGTAATGACTGTTATGATCTCAGAGAGATCATAATCTTCGAACTGCTTTGTTCAGTTGTATATAATTATAGTTCTACCTCTTCATTCAGCAAGACACTTGTGACCAGTACATACCTAATGTTTTAGGAATAATACTTTGAAAGGCAAATTTTGAGGAATTCCAGCCTGAAAATTAGGATCTCAATCATTTCTTAGCAAATATGTTCACTGCAATAAAAAGATTTTGGCTTTATATGGGCCTTTAACTAGTCCATTTCTTCTCATTACATATCACCTGACTCCAGAAATAACGACAACTGCTAATATATACTGAGCCCTTATAATGTGAAAAGCATAACAATGCTATGGTACAATTATTACTATCACTTCCACTTTAAGATGAGAAAATGAAGGTCCAAATCCTGGCCTGGCTTAAAGCCTATCCATACAACACTACATTATCCTAACAATGTAATCAATAATGGCTATCAGTTCAAAGGACTGATTTGTTCCTTTACCATCTAGGCCACATCACAGAGCTACTATGTAAAGCTGAGAAATCCAAATTAAAGAAAACAAATTAGAATCTAACAACACTGCATTTCGGAACATGAACTCCCGAGTGTGACTTTTAAGGAGAGTATGCTGTTCCATGAGATAAATAAGCAAAAACATTCACAATAGAAATAGGAGTGAGGGGGGCTGGGATCACCCCATTTCTTGCACCAAGTTGCCCTTGGGGGCACAACTATAAACACTGGCAGAACTTACGGCCAAGATGGAGGAATGGGTAGATATGCTTTGCTTCCTTGCACAACCAAAAGAAGGGAAACAACCAATTTAAAAACAAACAAACAAACCCCAGAACTGCCAGAAAATCATATTGTATGGAAGTCTGACAACCAAAGAATTAAGGAAGAAACATTTGTCCAGACTGCGCCACAACACAATGCAGTGGGTTGCCCTGCCCTGGTGAATAACTAAGGCTCTGGCCCTTACAATGAAACAGGTGCATCAAGTCAAAGAAATATGGCCCAAATGAAAGAACAGATCAAAATTTCAAGAAAAAAGTAAGTGATGAGGAGATAGCCAACCTATCAGAGGCAGAGTTTAAAACACTGGTAATCAGGATGCTCACAGAAATAATTGAGTATGGCCACAAAATAGAAGAAGAAGTGAAGGCTATGCAAAGTGAAATAAAGAAAAATATACAGGGAACCAACAGTGAAGGGAAGGAAACTGGAACCCAGATCCACAATTTGAAGCAGAAGGAAGAAATAAACATTCAACCAGAACAGAATGAAGAAAGATGAATTTGAAAAAATGAGGAGAGACGTAGGAACCTCCAGGACACTTCTAAATGTTCCAACATCTGAATCATAGGGGTGCCAGGAGAAGAGGAAGACCAAGAAATTGAAAACTTATTTGAAAAAAACATGAAGAACTTCCCCAATCCGGCAAAGGAAACAGACTTTCAGGAAGTCCGGGAAGCTCAGAGTCTCCCAAAGAAGTTGGACCTAAGGAAGAACACACCAAGGCACATCGTTATTACATTAGACAAGATTAAAGATAAGGAGAGAATCTTAAAAGCAGAAAGAGAAAAGGAGACAGTTACCTATGAAGGCATTTCCATAAAACTATCAGCTGATTTCTCAAAAGAAACCTTACAGGTGAGAAGGGGCTGCAAAGAAGTATTCCAAGTCATGAAAGGCAAGGACCTATATCCAAGATTGCTCTATTCAGCAAAGTTATCATTCAGAATGGAAGAGCAGATAAAGTTATTCCCAGATAAGGTGAAAGGAGCTCATCATCACCAAGTCCTTATTATATGAAATGTTAAAGGGACTTAGCTAAGAAAAAGAAGATCAAAACCGTGAACAGTAAAATGACAACAAACTCACAACTATCAAGAAACTGAAAAACAAAAACTCACAACTGAACTTCAAAAACAAAAAAGAAAACGAACTAAGCAGCCCTGACTTGTGTAGCTCAGTGGATTGGGTGTGGGCTGGGAACCAAAGGGTCGCCAGTTTGTTTCCCAGTCAGGGTACATGCCTGTGTTGTGGGCCACGTCCCCAGCAGGGGGCGCGTGAGAGGCAACCACACACTGATGTTTCCATCTCTCCTTCCCTTTCCCTCTGTGTAAAAATGAACAAATAAAATCTTAAAAACGAGCTATGTAAAAAACTAGAACAGGTACAGAATCACAGAAATGGAGATCACATGGAGGGTTATCAGCAGGGAAGGGGCAGGGGAGAATGGGGGAAAAGGTACAAGGAGTAAGAAGCATAAATGGTGTCATACAAAATAGAAGGGGGTGTAAAGAACAGTATAGAAAATGGAGAAGCCAAAGAACTTATATGTATGACACATGGACATGAACTAAGGAAGGGGAATGCTGGAGGGATGTGGGGTGCAGGGTGAGGAGGATAAAGGGGAGAAAAAAGTGGGACAACTGTAATAGCATAATCAATAAAATACACTTAAAATAAACACTGGCAGAATACTACAGACATTATTAAATGTTCAAAGCATGACCATGATATTGTGACTATTTTTTAAAAATGTGCCCAAATGTAAGCAAGGCAAGGGTCAGAAATGGCACTAAAGAAGACCGCTAGGTACACTGGCTTTCACTACTACGAGAAGTGTTTCCAGGCTCTTACCGTACTAAACCTTGTGTTTTTCCAAGTCCAAACAGAGTTTCTTTCTGGATTAGGTCAGAAATCACTAGGGCAAAGGTAGCCAGCTCACAGAATACTGACTTGCTGCCTGAACTTTGAGTCCCTGTGATTTGCTGCCTGAACTCTGAGGCCCGGTGATTTGCTGCCTGATCTTTGAGGCCTTGTGATTTACTGTGTGTGAGTGGTATTGGGCAAGAGAGCACAGTGAGAAGGCTGTCCTGGCTCTCTCTAGAGACTGTCCTCTGTCATATCTGTTATGTGGCATTTAATAACTATCCTGTATTCAGTGCTGGAGATACCCAGCAACTCAGAAAGTGATCCAAAAACTACTGGTATGTACCAGTAAACAATGCCTTAGGTGTTGTTTTTAAACCATTCTGTTATGATTTACATATTATAAAATGAAGTATCCTTTTCAGGTTTAGTTTGCTCTTATGCTTCTTGTACACTAATGTTTGAGTAGTCTTTGCTTCCTCAACCAAATTCTGAGCTCCCTGAGGTCAGAAACCAACCAACAGAACTCTATCACCACAACTGAGATTTGCTAGCACAAAGCTGGGCTCTGCAGATTTGTAGATGAAAATGAAACCAACAAAAATTTGACTCCATAATTTCTTAGAACCTCTATCAGAATCACCTAGAAAGCTTGGTGATATCTGGGAAACAGGATATTAAAATGGTACATGAGCGAGAGGGCCAGGAATGTACATGTTAAACAAACCAGCCCCTGTGCATGAGATTCTTATTCACACACAGTTTGGGAACTAGACAGCTGTTCATGCAGGCAGATCTCGTTTTATTGTACTTCAATTTAATGCACTTCACATGTGTTGTTTTTTTTACAAATTAAAGGTGAGGCCCTCCACCAGGGCAAAAGATTATAACTTGCTTTATTGTGATACTTTATTGCTGTGGCCTAGAACCAAAACCAAACCTGCAATATCTCTGAAGCATGCCTGTAAAAATAAACACTTCCATGCCCTAAATATGTTTCAGACAAGGAATGGGAAAGGTGTAAACAAAATAAAGTTTCAATAACATTTCTAATCTCCATTGTTCTTCTCTTTAGTCCTTCCTCTCACCACTGCCCAAACCATCCTCCTAAAACACAGTTCTGATCAAGCCCTTCCTTTTCTCAGAACCTTTCCAACATGAGAAATTAAAACTCACAGACATTCATCTAGCTGTTTGGGCCACAGAATTTCCATCCTGGACCCATAGTCCAATTTGTCTGTAACCTCACAGAGAAGGCCCCAGCGCTGGTAAATGCTGTGGTGACTTACTCCAAGCCGGGATTGGCCACACTCTGGCACTATACCAAAGTTGAGCTGATTCCTCCGACAACTGCTGAGATCCCAACAACTATTCAGAGATTGAAAAAATTAGTCAATAGTGCTCAAACTGATAGCTTCCAACAGTTCACAGCTAAGGAAACTGCTGAATGCTTTGGTGGCCATTAAGGTGTGGGTGTGGTTTGACCTCAGCGTCAACAAGATCATAGGCAAGCATGGTGTCACTGGCTGCAATGTTTGAAGATCCATCTTTTACATCTGTTTCTTTCTGGTTTATTATTTTAATGTTCTTGGACCATGAATGATCAGAATGGTTTTTGAGTAAAAAAAATTCAAAAGAAGAAAAAAATTACAACACACAGTTGGAAACTTGTCCTTATGGCCCTGACTAGCTTGGCTCAATGGGTTGGGCATCCTCCGGCAAAGTGAAAGTTCACTGGTTTGATTCTTAGTCAAGGCACATGCCTGGGTTATGGACCAGGTCCCCAGTTGGGGGCATGCAGAGGCAACCCATCCATGTCTCTGTCACACATCGATGTTTCTCTCCATCTCTGCTGCCCTCCCTTCCCTCTCTCTAAATAAGTAAAATCTTAAAAAAAAAAAACATGTACAGCCTGCTTACAATCAACATAACTTTTAAAGAGTACAAATGCGGCAGCCAGAATGCCTGAGTTCAAACCCCAGCTCCACCAATTAGTTGTGTGACTTCAAGCAAGTCACCTAAACTCTGTTCCTCAGTTTCCTCATCTGTAAAATGGAGATGTTCATAGTATCTTCTTGACTGGGTTGTGGATTAGATAAATTTACCTGTGCATAGCACTCAGAATAGTGCCTGGGATGTATTAAGTGCAATTTAAGTGTTAACTATTACTATTATTGTGATTAAGCCCTTCTATTCACCTATTCACACTCTAGTCCCATATATTAATTCCTGCTCCTTGCTTATCTTTCCATATCACACTGTTCTTTCCATCCATAACACAGTTCCACACCATCTGAGTCAAAGTGTCCAGCTGACAAGACCCAAATTAACTTTCATTTGAATGTCTTTAATGACTAACTGCCCCCACACTCAAATTAATCCTTCCTGCCTCTGTGCACTAACTTAATCTTGATTTGTGCATGTTTTGCCATTTCATAGACTATAATTTCCCTGAAGAAGCTGGTATAGTTTAGTCAGTATGCTCACGAAAATGAGTCTTGGGTTCCAAAGCAGGTCCTATTTATTCTCTTATTTCCCACTTGTAAGTTCAGGAAAATAATATTTGCTGTGAATGAGGTTTAAGTGATAACTTCTATCTATAACTATTCAAAAACCCTACTGTACGGTGGTATTAAAATAATTATTAATAGTTGTGTTTACTGAGTGCCAGCTACGAAAGTACTGTCAGCACCATTGAGCATATGGTATACCCAGGTTAGCTGTTTACAAAACAGCCATAAACATAAACAAACCAAACAACTCATTCAGCAGGAGCAGTCAGCACAGGCTGTGGGGTATGCCTGAGGGTGGAGGGGAGAGTAAACCTCTTTCGTATTGGTCTTTCACAGAGTGACATGAGGGCCACCCCCAATGAACCAACCAATGGGCTTCGGCGGGGAGGGCTGATATATGAGGGGACAACAGCATCTGGGCTCTCACTTTATCCTTTCCACCAAAGTAGGAGGGCAACCCTCTCGGGCACTGACAGGGCTGCATCTTGCCCTACCAAAGATTACCAGTTAGACCCACAGTCTGAATTTCACTTGCTGTTTTCTTCCTAAAGAAAACTTCCTTTTGCACAAGTTCAGATTTTTGCCCGTAAGCTTGGGATCACAGAACTGGTTCCAGCCTAATCCCACTGTGAGTGTGCGGTTTCACTTTCGCCTTCGTTACCCTGTTTTTTTTTTTTTTTTTTGAAAATGTATTTATTAATGAGAGACAGAGAGAGAGAGATCGATGGGTTGCCTCTCATGCGCCATGGCCAGGGATGAAACCCACAACCTTTTGGTGTGCGGGACAACACGCTCCAACCGAGCCACCCAACCGGGGCCCGTTACCCTATTTTAAAAGGGGAGCAGTCGTTTCGTCTTGTATGGCATGTAGTGGTTGGTCAATTAGACCTGAAGCCCAGCCTGGCATCAGAAGCCTAATCGATTCCGTACGTATTCTCGTAGTCCGCAGCAGGTGCTCCTTGGGGGCAGGCACCCCTTCGTCTCCCCACCAGGTATGTGGAAACGACGGCCCCTCCTTCTCGCCCTGGGCAGATTCTGGGGAGAGAGGCTGACGCTAATCCCGGAGGGGAAACAGGCGAGGCCCAGAGACCCGCCGTGCAGACGTGGGCTTCTCGGAAGAGATGGGGAAGTTGGCCAAGTTGGGGTCCAAGCCTCAAGCCCAGGACTGCAACTGCTCAGGAGAGCCCCGCGCGCCTCCTCGGACCTCTAACCCCACGCCCGTCCTCCACATCCCGCCTTTACATCGAGCTCAGGTCGCCCACTTTCTATCATCCGCCGCGGGGCTGCTTACCACTGCGCTCATCCCGAGGCTCACCAAGCCGTCTCCCCCTGCCTGGACCCTGCGGAAGCAGAGGAGGAGTGAGCAGCTTCACTCCCGGAAGTAACTTAAGACTGCCAAGAAGAGTGCCTGGCCCTCCCGACCATAGATGAGAGGTCGCACTGTTTCCCAGCCCCCTCAACCCCACGACCTCCCTGCTGCCTAGAGCGGCCACTCCCAGGCCGTGGAGTTTGACGCATGCGTACTACGATCGGCCCCGCCCCTTCCTCTTCAGGAACCGCTAGGGCCCGGAGGCTGGGTTTGAGTCAGGTGTACGTGTCCGCTACTTTCAGGAGGGTGTTTCTGAGGAAATTTGCCCAGAACTTAAAACAATATTACAGGTCCTCACTGTACTTCCATGGTTCTCTTTTGCCATCACATTTTACGCAGAAAGTCAGGACCATGGCTAAAGTACCATTTAGAATAGGAATTAAAATGACATTACCGCGTTTTTTAATGTTTTAAATCGCTGGTTTGAAGTTTATCATTTGGGTGACTTTTTCTACCTATCAAATTACTAAAGAGTAAAAAGATTGGTGATGACTCGTGTTAGTGCCGGGAGTGTGTGACCTCATTTTTCTGGAGGATAATCTGGTAAAACATCAGCATTGTGTGTGTGTGTGTGTGTGTGTGTGTGTGTGTGTGTGTGTTAAAAGACAACATAAAAACTACCACTTTAACCATGTTACGTGTGCAGTTCAGTGGCATTAAGTATACCCACATTGTTTTGCAGCCATCATTACCATACATTTTCAAGACTTTTTAAATCTTTCCAAACTGAAGTTTCATGTCCCTTCAACACCTCCTCATGGTCCCTTCCCCCAGCCTCTGGTAACCCCTCATTCTACTTCGTGTCTCTGAATTTGACTACTCTAGGTACCACACATAACTGGAATAGTACAGCATTTTGTTGTGACTGGTTTATTTCACTTAGTACAATGTCCTCAAGGTTCATATAGGTTGTAGCACATACCAGAATTTCCTTCCTTTTTAAGGCTGAATAATTTTCCAGTGTATGTATATATATATCCCATTTTGTCTATTCATTTGTTGATGAACACTCTGGCTGTTTCCACCTTTTGGTTATTGTGAATAATGCTGCTAATAAATGAGTGTGCAAATACCTGTTCAAACTTATGGTTTCACTTGTGTTGGCTGCATGTTCTAAAGTGGAATAGCTGCCTCCTATAATTCTATTTTTAATTTTTAAAGAGCTACCATACTCTGCCCTGCCTGGGTTGTTCAGTTGGTTGGAGTGTCATCTCCTAAACCAAAAGGTTGCAAGTTTGGTCCCCAGTCAGGGCATGTACCTAGGTTGTGGGTCAGATCCCTGGTTGAGGTGTGTACGGGAGGCAACCAATTGATGTATCTCTCTCACATTGATGTCTGTCTTTCTCACTCTCAATAAGTATATCCTTGGGTGAGAATTAAAAAAATTGAGACTCAATATATTGTTATCCATAGTGGCTGCACTGTTTTATACTTCTACTAGCTGTGCACAAAGTTCTAATTTTTCATCCAGTGGGTGTG